ACTCCTCGAAATGACTTCTAATGCATGATAATGATATCTCGTTGTATTGAGATGAGAGATGAGGGATAAGGGATGAGAGAGTACGGTAGAACTAAACAACTTCAGATTATATACCTATCTATCTTCATTCCATCACGAGGACATCTCATATGAACGGAAGCGTGGTTTTACATTACATTTACCAAGTGAGACTCAGTGAGTACGTACCGACCTCCATCTTTATCTTTAGATAAACCCTCAATTCATCTTCTCGTGCTTGCGTCTTTGATTGGATGAGATAGGGATTTGATGGCCAGGATTTGATCGGCAGCATGCATATAAACGAGAAGCGTGCATAGCATCAAGGGTGTCTCGGTGTGCAATGACATGATTGATTGCCTTCCAAAAAAAGTTGAGATCATTGATTCTAGGTTTCCCCAATTCTCGACCGGTATGGGGTGAATATCGATTTCATATCCTATGTGATTTTGGGAGGGTTGTGAGATAAGCAAATGAAACAGGATTTGGGTTTGCCATCTTCTACTTTTCTTCTTTACAGGAAGAGATTTTATATCTTCATATTCTCTTTCTTGATATTGTTTTGATATATAATTTAATTAATTCGATAAATTGCTTGCTTGATCTTCGTCAAGGAATATCCATCCACTCTTCGAACGACCGAGCCTTGGTTCTGGGAGCTGGGACGAGAAATAATTAAAAAGGGCTCGAGAAACGCGATAACCTGGAAATTAAAGATTTATTTACTTATTTCGTTCTTTATTTACAAACACTACTAATGAACTAATATTTTACAACCCTTTGAAACTGTTCCTTCGCTCGATCAATTTTCGGATTGCGTTGCTTCATTTCTTCAACTCCCGTCGCTACAAGATGAAATAGATCAAGAAAGGCAGCCTTCTCAGCAACCAGCGTTCCTTCCTACCTTCCATTTCCGATCACACAGGATTAAGGATTAAATCGCTCAACCGCGGATTTTGAGCTGAAAACATTCCAAACAAAAATGTTATCTTCATTACTGCGTCCAGCGAAAGCTCGACGACGCGCTCAAGAGATACATTCCCCTTTCTCGACACTGAATGTTGACCGATCTTCACCAGCTGCGGCTAGAACAGAACGTCTACCTCGACATGCATCCGCAGATTTTACGGAAACGGAAATAGAAGAAGATACAGAGGAAGAAATTGCGCAACAAAATGATGGGGAGGATGAAGATGAAGGAAGTAATGAAGACGAAGTAGAAGAAGAAGATGGTGATGAAGATCAACCTCTCTTGCCTATATTTTCTGCGGCACATCTTGGTATCTAGCATTTCTCTATCTCTCTCCAGAAACCCAATACTAACATTTGATTAGATGCGCTTCCAGTATATAATCTCACACATGCCATTCGACTCATCATACTCCCGCGGACGGAAACCACATTGACATGGGATCAATTACGGTCACCACAAGTCTCACAGTTCCTAGTGAAGCCTATGCAACAACAAATTCGAATTTCGCACTTTAATCGAGCTACCTTATATGCGTTGATGGCAAATTGTTTACAATTTAAAAAGGAGAGTCAAGCAAATCCAGGTAACGCAGGGAATAGCTTAACCAGAGCTTTAGTTTGCGAGCTTCTAGCTATCAAATTATTGAAGGAATACAATACTAGAGAGTTAATCGATGCTCTTTCCTATGACTTCTTTCCATTACAAGGAGTAGCAGAACCAAATCCACCCATAACGAATTGGAATCAAAGAAATCGTGCAAAACCAGTTGCTGCCAGGATCTCAACTTTGGAGGTAGCTATTAGGGCGTCTGCGAAACGATTTTTGGCACATCCACTTGTAGTTCAACAACTAGAGGCTATCTGGGCTGGAACAATTGTATTCCATTCTGCGGCGGATAATCTTCACCGTACATCAATAAACCGGACTGGATTTAAGAAACCAAGTCCAAGCAATGGAACTGCGGTCCCATTACTTACCCGTGATCAAATTCAATATGGGACAACAATCAGTCGCCCAAAACTTCAAAATAAAGAACCAGAATCGGAACAAGCAATTCAGACCTTGACTAGGAGAACGGTCACATTATATGATCCAAGAGATGCATCTCTATTCAAGCTTTCGAGATTGAGGGTACCAAGATATCGTCAATTTTTCTCCACTTGCTCACTCGCTATCCTTCTTGTTCTTTTCCTAGCTGTTCTCAGTCAAAGATCAACAGACATCACCGGTCTCGAAGTCATATTTTGGTTTTGGAGTGCAGGTTTCATGCTTGATGAGGTAGTTGGATTTAACGAACAAGGGTTCTCGTTATATATTATGAGTTTCTGGAATGCTTTCGACTTGGGTATTCTAGTTTTACTTACTGTTTACTATTGCATGCGGCTATATGGCATTTTCTTGGTGGACTATGGAAGAGAGGAGTGGAATAGTATGGCATATGATGTTCTTGCAACTAATGCAATCCTACTATTCCCTCGATTATTCAGTGTTCTGGACCATTACCGATACTTCTCACAACTATTAATCGCATTTAGATTGATGGCAATTGATCTTGTGGCGGTGTTTGTACTAATTTTAATAGCTTGTAGTGGTTTTTTCGTTGCATTCACTCTATCGTTTGGAAAAAGCGAATATGATGCAGCAGGAGTCGCCTACAAGATCTTTCAGATATTGATGGGATTTACACCTGCGGCATGGGAAGCATGGGAAACTTACAATTTCCTGGGAAAGGCATTACTTGTGCTTTTCCTCTTCATTTGTCACTTCCTCGTTATCACCATTCTCATTACGGTTTTAACAAACTCCTTCATGTCAATCGTCTCAAACGCAAACGAAGAACATCAATTCGTCTTTGCTGTCAACACAATTTCTATGGTTAAGAATGATGCACTCTTCTCTTATGTAGCACCTACGAACATTCTTGCTTGGGTTCTTACACCATTCAGATTCTTTTTTCCTTTCAGGACATTCATCAAGATGAATCGTACTGTTATAAAAATGACTCATTTTCCCTTATTATTCAGTATATGCATCTACGAAAAGATTTTCTTGGCAAGATCTGTCTTTGAACCTACGGATTTGGTTGAAAAGGCTGGACAACGATCGAAGCGAACAATTTCATTCCAAGATCGTAGGCATGGACTCTTCAGTCCTAATTTACGGAGACATGAATCTTCAGTTGCTGGTTTTCAGAAAGACAGAGCTCTTGATGAAGTTTTTAGGCTAACGCCGAGAGATAATCTTGGTAGAAATCGTCCTAGTTTTGATCGTCGACAAACTCAAACTGTCATCAATAACTGGATGGAACGTCAAGAAGATGTTGCTAGTCCACCACAAGAACAAGATCGTTCTATATTGGAAAGATTAGAGATGCGAAGGCAATCTAGGCAAGCAAATGCCATGAGACATCGTGCACTCAGTCGTCAGCTTTCCGGAAATAGATCTGTGGCTAGTGATCCAGCAGAATTCATGTCTACAGGATTTCATGACATGACTCGAATTTCAGATGATGAATTACATCCAAATGAGTTTGGTGGGGGTCATACAGATGCAGATGGAGATGATGAATTATTGTCCAATGATGAAGACGAACATACCGAGGATAAACATACAGCGACGAATTTCAGCCAAAGTGGTGCTGAATCAGAAGAAGAGTATTTCCAAACTCCAACTGCAACGAGGTTTATTTCTCCCATTGCGCCTTTTAATCCACAACAAGATATCACACAACAAAACAATTCTCCCTCAAAGCAATCCAAGTCTACACCAAAGAAGAAGGCTCATGATAGGAATTTATCAACGACGACGATTCTCTTCAATCCTCTTATTCAAAATTCTTCATTTTCGTCCAATTCTCCCCCTCGTTCACGACCATTAACAGCAAAAATGTATTCACAAGCCAATACCGGAACCAACACCCCAGCAGGCCAATCAGGATCTCGTACTCCAAGAACCGCCAACTTCACCAATGCAACTGTTCGACCACGTCCTATTTTACCCAATCGTACAAATTTTCAATCTGTTCCAATTATCACTAAACCAGATCCTGCACGCAATCGCGTTTTGCGTCATAAAGAATCTAGTTTGAATATCAGTTTATCGGAAATGGGTCTTGAGCAGGCACAACTTGGCGCAGTACCGAGTTCATTTCAAACTCAAATGGCTATCGCTACAAAGATGGCGATGAAACGTGATAAAAAAGAAGAAACTGCAGATGGTATGATGGGAAGATTGATGCTGGCAAGAATGAAGACTTTGGAGGAAGGGTTTGCTGAAGTTGTCAGAGAATTTAGAGGAATGCGTACAGCTGGAAATTCTTCGGTCGAGAATGAAACTTTGGTTGGAAAGCGGAAAGAAGGAAAGGGGGATAAGAAGAAGAAACGACCTGGTAGCGCCAATCTTTCACAAACAAAAAGTGAAGTCAATATGGAAAAATTCAGAATGACAAGCTCGAAGGGAAAAGAAAAGGGATACTTTGATAATGATCATGGTGGTCTTACTTCAACCAATGGACTTGATATTGGAGGGGTTACTAGTCGAGGAACGAGTGAGTATAGGACACCATATGAAACGCCAGAGGCTGGTATCATAGCACAGTATTTGACAAAGGGGAGTTCCTTGTAATAATTGTGAATTGGCGGGAGTTTGAGTGGATAGAATTTTGATGGCGGTGTTTTGCGTTTTAAATTTTTGGTCTGTATTATTTGAAGTCCATGTATTGAATGATATCATGACGGGAGGTTGTGTTTATTGTGTATAAAAGAGGATATACCCAAATTGTTTTTAGGTCAATGGGTTAGTTATTATGATGGGCAGGCAAGCACACGAAATAGTAATGAAAGAATCATGATGGGATGGTACCATATATTTTTTCTTGTATTATTCATGTATCGTCCTTTGCCATGCTTGTGTCGAAATTCCCAGCATGTCTTGTTCGTCTGAATCAAACCTCAGCTAGCAAATTCCATCACACATCGCACATCCCGCAGCACATCAGTCCATTCCTATCTCAAGCAACCACACCCTCCTTCTTAACCCCCTTTGAAAAATTCATCATTGGCGCAATTGGAACGGGCCAAAACATGACTGCGGCAACGACGGGGACGTAACTATTTGGATTGGGTGTTAGTATTGGATGGGTGGGGTGTTGCATGTATAGCATAGCATATCATAAATGATTCCTCTTTTTTCCTTTTCTCTCTCTCTTTTGGGAGCAGGGGGGGGGAATAAACCAAGAGGAAGGAATGAATGAATGAATGTATGTATGAATAGAGGAATAGAGGAATAAGGAGATGAGAAAATAAACATACAGCAACCCAGTCCCGTACACATTCTTCCACGCTTTTCCCCAGTAGACGTTGGGACCAAAGTAGATGGGTTGTCGGGGGGTGAGCGATTTGGTCGAGGCGGAGGTGGAGGTGGAGGATTGTCGGATTGTGCGGGTGAGGAGGGAGAGGGTGGTGGTGGTGGTGGTGATGGTTGGGCGGGGCATTTTATTTAATTTATCTTTGGTTGAGGAGGGAGGGTTGGGAGGTGAGGGTTAGTGGATAGAGAGAGAGAGAGAGTTGTTTGGTGGATGGATGAGATTTGGTGAAATGAGCTGATGAGCTGAGATAAGTGAGTGAAGAGGGCAATGAGCAATGAGTAATGAGGAGGGTATTGCGATAACTTTGGTTATAGAGGTGAGATGGAATAAGGTTAGAGAAATAGATACTTAAAATGTAAATGGATAGTTGAGAGGGAAAGAGAGAATGATAAGTGACAAATCTACATTCCGGAGGAAAGAGTGTGTTTATGTAGGTAGGTATCTTTGGTATGTCCTCGTGATTATTTTGGGAGGTACCTAGGTATGGATGGATGGATATGGTAGGGACGGAGGGGGTAGGGAGGTATAGCCTGAATGATTATGATAGGATGGGATGGGATGGAGAATTGTGTGTGTGTGAGGGTGTGAGTGAGGAAGAGAGGAAGAGAGTACAAATCCCGGTATTATGATTTGTGTTTTGAGAAGGGAGGGGATGGCATGGCATAGGATGGTGGTGATTGGAATTAGATCCCGGTTCAAAGCCCGATGGGTTTCAGAGCCCGGGGTTGGGATGTTGGGTTTGTGAGATATGGATTGTTTGTTTGTTTGTTTGTAATATCTTGAAGGGGTGTTGTATGAAGGGGATGGAAGTTAGAAATGTACTTACCTAGTACTTAGTACCTACCCACCTAGTATGTATACAACAATTCCTGATAGAAACTCGTGAAATATACCTAGTATTGAATTTATTGTGCGATAACTTGTGAATATGTTTCTCGAGATATCAATTCTAATCGTATCTCGTAAATTACTTGGTAGTACTGGAAGAGTATGTATAGTGATAATACATGTTGTTTTTGAGACAAATAACAGCTCATGGTTGCATGAAGTGAGGAGGAGGTGGTATTTCGTATCTATTCTGGGGTAATGCGGGGTAGAAGGTGCAAGGGGTTGGATAGAAAGCGTATCGCTTATTTTGATACTGGACACACAGGCCAGGTGGGTTATCTAAGCTAAGCTAAGAAAGTGTGACATGGTTGGAAATTACTTTGGGAACATCTTCAATATATCACGTTACGCAGAATTTCGTGACCAGTTTGTTGGACCTATATGTTGGGGAACCTTTCTCTTCTTTTTAGATTGGAACTTGGAAACTCAGTATATTGAGGACATTTCGTTGTCGGATTTAGTTTATCCCACTTTTAAAGTACATCGTCTGATCAATCACCATGTCTTCAGATTCGAAGAAGTCCTATCTAGATCTTGTGAAAGCTTGTGATAAGTAAGTTATACAATCTTTTTCCTAGTAAAACATAGCACTAATCACCCCTGTCAGCTTTCCATACGATGCAAACATCGATGAACTCTACAAACTATACCTCCCAGACGATGACCGGGTTCATGGCTACATGCTTCCCGAGATCGTCTCCCAAATGCCCTGGTCCCCCGAATTCACCATCACCCAAGATCCACCCCTAAGCGTCCAGCTGCATCCCATGGACATCGCATCAAACGATTACTCCACCACATGCAACAACGCATTCGCAAAAGTAATCAACGAAGCAATCGACAAGGATATCTTCAGCACTCTCCACGGCGAACACAGCGAACCCTACGCCATCCCAGGGGCCAAACAACCCGTGCACCTCGAACGCTACGCCGCCTCACTCTTCGGCATCATATCTCTGGGTGCACATCTCACCATCTACACCCGCAGCGCCGAAGGCGCAATGAAAATCTGGGTCGCAAAACGCAGCGCGCATCTTTTTACCTACCCGGGGAAATTTGACACCACGGTTGCAGGGGGCGTACGTGCAGATGAATCACCTTTCGAAACCATCGTTCACGAAGCTGATGAAGAGGCTTCGTTGTCTTCTGAGCTTATCCGTGCGCATGTCAAATCCACGGGTGTGATTACGTATATGAAGAGTAGTGGAGCGGGATCGGGAGGGATTAGGGGATTGGTGACGGCGGATATGATATATGTGTATGATTTGGAGGTTGGGGAAGCGACGATCCCGACGCCGAGGGATGATGAGGTGGAGGGGTTTTATTTGTGGAGTGTGGAGAAGGTGATGGAGGAGTTGGGGAAAGGCACGTTTAAGACGAATAGTGCGGTGGTGATGATTGATTTTTTTGTGAGGCATGGAATTTTGAGCCAGGAGAATGAGAGGGATTTTGCGGAGGTGGTTATGAGAATGCATAGGAAGTTGCCGTTTCCGACCGCGGGGGAGAGTTAGTGTGGGTCTACTGTGGGGTTTGGGACGAGGGCGCTTTCCTTGAGATGGGATTAGATGGATGGTTTTGCTACATATAGATTTTAAAGTGACGATATAGATGGTCAATTGCTAGATGGGAATGTTTGCTTTAATCTGTTAACACTTTATAGTGTGTGAGATACCCAGGACTCTATGAAAGTCCAGGACATTGAAAAGGGTTATCTAGCACAAAATTCATGAGCCTTGATTAGCAGGAATTTTCTCATGACGCTTCAAATCATGATTTTAATGGTTGTAATGGTCTTCTTTCTTTAATCCATTCTTCGATCTTCCTACTGTCCTTCCTATCCAATAATCGTAATTTCCCTCTCTTTCTTTTAAAGCCCATAGATAAGCAAAACTAAACAAAGCACACAACATCTACAACAACTTCATCAATTCTCTCAACGCCCACTCCAACTCCTCATCCCCATCGCTTTGCGAATCCATACCTTCAGCCTCAATTCCAAACGGTATAAAATCAGACTCGCATACTGTACCATTTGACGGGAGAATACCATCTTGAAAATACGCAAGTCGATGTTTTGCTGTACATTTTGAAGGACAAGATGCCGATGTATGCTGGAGAATGATGAGCTGTGGATTATCGGATGTTGTTATGGGAGGGACTTACACCATAGGAATTCTGTACTAGAACAGAAGAACCGGGGAAGAAGTGTGAATTGTAGATTGCACTTCCTAGTGGTGTGATGTTGTCTGCTGAATTACCGATGAAGAGGATTGGATGACTGGTGTTTTGCTCAAATGGGCCTTTATATAAGTCTTATTAGCATGTCTGTTCAGGAGAAACGTGGCAGATAGGAGGAACACTCACCAACGAAATTCCATTTTGTTCTTGACTTCCAGCCCGCGCACGATAGGCGAATATTGAACATAACCGATGCGGATAATGGGCTTCTTCTTCGTAATTCTTCTTCGTATTTTATCATAACCTCCAAACTATCTTTATCCACGTCGGCATCACCTTCTCCGCATTTCACATATGTTGCTGCGTCGCCATTTCCAATCGCTTTTAGAGGCCATCTAGATTCCTCTTCGCAGTTGGGGGAATCACAACTACATGTAAAACTTGGTTGTATGTGTCCTTGAGCTATAGCCATTTTCAAGAAAGGAATACCATCATCAGCTTCTAGCGCAGCTAAAGCTTTGGCCAAGTGATGAAATAATGCTAAGGGTTGATAGAGTGAGTAGATTACTGCATTCTTCACGTCCGAGTAAGTGAGAACTTTTGGTCGAGTGATTCCTAATGACTGTAACTCCATTGTGTTGTTTGTGGTAGGGAAGACTTGCAATGGGTATTTTCGAAGCTTGATATAGATACCTTCGAGTCGTTCTTGGATTGCTATAGGCGTTGAGGCATAGAGCGCACATTTTTGGGGACCCGCCTTATGACACAAGTCAAAGAAAGCTAGCATTACTTTGTCCGTATCTTCGATATAATGGATTCCGGTTCCATTGTACCATTCTGAGTAATTGACGTTTCCTATTAGGAGTTTAGCAAGCCTTCATTGTCTAAAGTCGAAAATAATACTAACCGTCACTAACGAGACGCTCAACCTTATCGGGATACATGGCTGCAAAGGTACCTCCGATTACTGTGCCATAACTTAGACCCCAATATCTCAATTTTTCATATCCGAGCTTGTTTAGTATCTCTAACATATCTCTTGCTACAGAAGCCGTTCCCAGAAATCGTGATAGATCACCAAGATTAGCTTCACAATTCTTAGACTCGAAACTTTGATGTGCATAAAGATCATAAATCATTCCTGGATGTGAATCGACAAGTCCGAGTTTTTGAATGCCCCAGATTCTTTCCTCTCGTGGTCCATTCCAACAATGAGCGGAAGGGGTGGTGGCGCCAACTTTGCATAAAGTTAATAAACCATCTCACTTTTCATTTAATGCTACAAACTTACTTCCACGAGGGTCGAATCCAATAATATCCTATTTTGTTTGTTAGTTGTAGACTTCAAGTCATCGGGAACAGGACTCACGTGGTTAGCTCCGACAGTAACATGAATAGCCTTCCAAAAGTCTTTCACGGTGCCTACACCGGATCCTCCAGGTCCTCCTGGATTTACGAATAGCGGACCCTTATAATCCACCTTTGATGTTGCATTTTTCCTCAAGACGGCCAAAACAACTTTTGATGAGTTGGTAGGCTCTAGCCAATCTAGTGGTACCTGTATTTAAAGAATATGATGAGCCTGCAGTGGAGAAGTTGACGGACATGGTAGTCATACCTCTAATCTTGCACAGTCAAACTCATCAAAGCATTGATGCCAAACTAATTCGGAGTTTGGCTTGATCTAATGATATTAAATTAGTTCCATCTAATTTCTCCAACCAGAGTTCTTACCGATTCCCAAGACCAAGTATCCTCACCAAGTACAGCATCTTCATTGAATGTTTCTTTACCATATGGTAAGAACACATAAACCCAGAATACCAATAGGCCAAATAGTAGCCTATCTATCCATTTGTTTCGGAAGCCTTGTCCGGACCGTGTTATCCGTGGTTTCTCATGCTGAGATTCTAGTTGACATGTGTCTTCGTTCTCATCTCCAAGTAAAGAATCGCACACTATCCGCTCTTCTTCTTTCAACGAATCATCATATTTTCCCGGTTTCATATTGCTCCTTCAACCAGATTGTATATCTCGTGGTGAGCTGACGAGACAACTTC